GCCTTCCTACTTCAATAATCGGCATGCCTTTGCTGTGTTTTGTTATTCTCTGGGAGGACCTGGACCTAATCCACTGTATCCGCCTTCCTACTTCATGTTCTACCTACTTCTTCCGACCGCCGTGTAATCGTCGATTCCCAGAAAATATGGGAAAATATGGTAAGTGGGGGGGAAGACAAAAACCCAGACAGAAAACATAGGAAGATGTGGACCCCCAGAGGCCATTCAGTCTCCCCCTTTCGGCCACGCGCAGAGGGGGGTACTGTTCAGTCGGGCCCGTCCCCCATACAGGAGGAATGTTCAGAAATGGTAAAACAAACTGATTGGGACGTTTTTGTTGACTATTGTTGGCTATTTTTTGTTTGAGCATTTTTACTATTTTCAGTTGTTCGCCCAAAAGCCGCCTGTAGGGGGACAAGCCCGACTTAAGAGATGAGGAGGGGAGAGGGTTCTTAGATCGAAGAAGGGAAAGTGCCATAAACATTGGCGCTGCGCGCGGATTTCTTGGATCCGCGCTGGGCCCCTCTGGCGGCACCTCCGGCGCCGCCCCTGGCGCCAAGGAGGGGGTTCGAGCTCAGATCCAAGAAATCCGCGCCGACCTCCAAAAGTTTATGTTTATGCCGTTTGTCCTTCCTCTATTACAGGGCGCGGGCCTCACCTGTAGATACGGCTGGTGCTTTCTAAGACGCAGCTTCCTCCCCAGAAGCCCCCCAATGATTCTCCCCCGTGCGCGCGGCCAGCTCTCCCCCGTGTCGTCCGCGCCGATCGGTGGCCCACGGGCCTGCTCGCGACGACCTCGTCGGGGGCGCCTGCCGCCCGCAGGTGGTCGTGTACACCGGCGCTTGCACGAGGATGGTGCTGAACTCCCGGCAGGCCCGCCCGGGGGGCTGCCCTTCAGTCGGGCAGGTCCCTCTACAGGAGAAACATGCAAAAATAGTTTAAAAACTAGTCTGGGGACGATTGTTGCGATTGTGTCTTCGCTCTTGTGGAGTAATTTTTGACCATGGTTTACTTTTTGCCATTTGTCGTTTCCAGTCCGCCCGTAGGAGGACATGCCCCACCTACGGCTGCCCTCTGGCGCTGGGCGCCGGCGCCTCGATGCGCGGCTTGAGGGTCGACGGGAGCCGGAGAGCGGGGGGGCGGATGCGGCGCGTCCGACCCGCAGCGAGGGAGCAGAGCTCCTGTGGTGGCGCGCGTGGGCGACCCCCACGCCGTGGGGGTCGCCCACGCGCTCCCGTGCTTGGACGGTGTTCTGGCAGACGGTGTCGGTGTGTGCTCGTTGGCCTCCCAGCGGAAGCGGGAGCGGACGGCCGTGGGGAGGACGTGCCGGGCGAGAGTCCAGGGCAACGCCTGGGGGAGGGGACAGGCTCAGGGGGAACGCCTCGACCCCCAGCCGCCCATGGCTCGTCGACGGGGGGCCTCGTACGTAGCCCACCCCGCCCGGGAACGCTCGGTTCCCTTCTCGGGGGCCTATCGTTAAGTCGAACCTGCCTCTCTACAGGAGGAATAGTCAAAAGTAGTGAACGGAATAATCTGGGGACGACTTAGAGATCGTGTTCTGGCAATTTTGGGATATTTGTGTGACTCTTTTAATTGTTCGTCCAGAATCCGCCTGTAGGGGTACATGCCCGACCTAAGCCCATCGCCGATCCATATCGGCAGTGCATCGCCGATTCGATTCCGAGTCGACGTGCTTCTCTCCCTATGACCAGGCCGAACGAAAAGGGGGGATAGGGAAAGGGGGGGTTTACGAAATCTGCTGCATGCAGCTGGTTTCGGCCCCGCCGCTGGGCCCGTTCCTCGATACATGGGCGCCTCCCCGCGCCGGAGGCGCCGGGAAAATAAGCTACGTGGGCTGATTATCAAACCCACCCTTTGCTATCCCCCCCTTCGCCCGGCCCGATATGAGCCGGTCCCCCCTTTGGGCGCTGCGTAATGGGGGATCGTAAATGGAGGGGCGGCGAGTCTGGTCCGAAAAGGTACCCAAATGGTACCTAAACGAACCCCCTGGGGCTCTGGAGGGGCCCGAAAGGGGCACGAAAGGGGACCTTTTCTGTCCCCCCCATTTGTGACCCCCCCATTAAGCCACGCCCAACCCCTCTCACGTGCCCTCCCGCGGCGGAAGGAGCGGGTAAAGTGCGGAAGCGGCAGCGAGCACCGCGGGGAGGAGCAGCAGGTCGAAGAGTCCAGGCTTCCCAGGTGGGGCCAGGGTTAAGTCGGGCGTGTCCCTCTACAGGAGGAGTATTCAAAAATAGTTAAGATAGTCTGGGGACGACGTCGTAAGTATTCTGGGACATCTTTTGAATATGTGTTGGGTATTTTTTTCGTCCAAAACCTGCCTGTAGGAGGACGCGCCCGACCGTAGGCCAGGGCCGAGGGCGTCGGAGAATGGCGCCACCTCGCCAATGCACCCGCGATGCGGCGCACTGCCGAGCCCGTCCTTTTCCGTCCCGACGTCGTTGGCGCATCGCCGATGCATCGGCGATGCGGCGTGATCTTCCAACCCCATCCACTCTGGCTCCATCCGAGAGGTCTCCAAGGATCGGCCGCGCGCTGAGGGTGTAGGGGCAAGGGGGAAGGCTTTTCAGAATCAGAAGCATAGTTGTCTCATCTTTTCTTCCAAACGAGTCGTGGGTGGAGAAAAAACTAGGATGTCCGCCGGGGCCCTCGTCAGACGAGCGGAAATGCGAGCGCAGTGGCGCGCGCGGTCGCGCGCGACCCGCCGGTGGTAATAACGTGGATGCGCGGGCGTCGCGGCGACGACGGCGACGACGACGGCGGCGCCTGCGCCGACGGTGACGACGACGGCGGCGGCGGCGACGGCGGCGACGACGACCATCGCGGCGACGGCGGCGACGGGGCCCGGGACCACGGGCAATCTTGCGCCCCGCCCTCGCTCCTGGAGCCCTGCGCCATGTTATAGGAGGAGCGGAATTTATGCGCGCAGTTTTGCCCCAGCCATCCTCCGCTTTAGTAATGCACTCTTTCCGTTTTACGATAACGTCGTTTGTCGGGATGTATTGGGCGGCGCGCCTTTATCACAATCGCTTCCTCGCTTTACTATAGCCGCTTCCTCGCTTTAGTAAAGCCGCTTGCTCGTTTTAGTAAAGCCGTTGCCTCGCTTTCGTAACGTCCGAGGTCTGATTTAGGACGGCCTTGGATATGCGGTGGTGATGCGGGGCCAGGGCCAGGTCGAGGGGCGGGGGGGGCCTGTCTTGCCTGCCAGTTCACCCCGCGGTGCATTTGCCAGGGTCGCGTTGCTTTGGGTCGCGGCGACCCTTGGACATATTTTCAGCGAGTTGTAGATTCCCTTTTTGACGAAAGATTCAGGGCGCGAGCGCAGGACGTGGCTCAGCAATTCGGACGCGCCGCCGCGGCTGTCGCGCAACAGAGCAACATCACTTCACCAGAAGGCGTGTTTCCGTTAGCCAATGGCTCCTTCAAAACAATAGTGTGCATGTACCGCCTTCAATAGAAGGAGGCTGCTTCTTAGAAGGCGCAGGCCTGGTCCTCAGATGTAAGGCGTGCGCCTTCCCAGCGGCAACCCCTAAGAAGCTCCCCCCTTCCCCCTGCCCCTTTCTGCGCGCCGCCAAGAAGAGCGAGAGCCCTCCAAGCGGAGTGGGATTGATCGACCCGATCAAAAGACAAACGGCAGCACCCCTCTTGCGGCGTACACCACACAAAAACCCGCGCCTGATTTCATGGTCTACGCTAGGCCTTGTAGGGGCCGTAAGCGGGGTGGTGTCGTTCGTTTCCTGGTCCAATGGAGAGATAAATAGAGAGAGAGAGAGAGAGAGAGAGAGAGAGAGAGAGAGAGAGAGAGAGATGGAGAGAGAGAGAGAGACAGAGAAAGAGGGAGAGAGAACGAGAGAGAAAGAGAAATGAGAGAGAGAGAGAAAGGATGGTCGTCGTTGCCCCATTCATTGTTTTGCCGATCGGTGCGGGCGCTCGCACCCCCCCACCCCCCTTCCCCATGGAGTGGGTCTTGGCTGTTTTTGGCGTTTGGTTCGGGGCAGGTGGAGTCCCCCCCCCGTCTGCGCGATCGAAAAAATCCGCGACAGCTCGAGGCTGAATTCATCGGCGACCGACGGGGAATCGAAAACAAAAACACGGCATCAACATGAATTGCTGGCGTTCCGCGCAGATTTGTTGGATCCGCGCTGGGCCCCCCTGGCGGCGCCTCTGGCGCCGCCCCTATCGCGCTTTGCGCGCCAACGAGGGGCTCCGGCGCAGATCCAAGAAATCCGTGCGACTAGTGCGACTTCCCCAACAATTATGTTCATGCCGTTTTCTTTTTCTTCTGGGGAAGTGAGAAGGAGAAGGTCTTCTCAGGAGGGGAGGGAGCAGGACTTTTCAGATGCCTTCGCGCCTCCTGAGAATCTTTCTGTGTCTCTGGGGGTGGGGGGCTTGGGACATTTTTCAGAAGGCCAGGGGACTTCCCAGCCGTTTTGGAAGGCCCGCCCCTTGTCGTTTCCGCCCCGCTTGCGCCGCCGAGGAAAGATCCACGCGGCGCCCCCACAGCACAGGCTGTGTGGTCTTTCTTGGGGTCCTCAGAGAGCCCCCGAAGTCCTTGCGGTTTGGAGGATTTCGCCCGGATTGGGTCGACAATTGGGCGAACGTTGGACGACGTCCGGGCGAAATCATGTTTTTGCTAGGGCTGCGGAGGTCGACGGAGGCTGCTACGGAAGGCTAACCCAACAGAGGCTAAGGGCCCTATTCTATTAGTTGTTTGTTTGTACAGTTCACCTGCGTAGTGAGGATGGGCAACCTTCCCAAGGGTACCCTTGCATCCTTGCCCCCTGCGGCCCATCCTCAGCGACTCTCGCTGGCCAACCTCGTTCGAAAAAACGCTAACGTGGTCCTCCGAGGCCCTTGCATCCTTACCGCGCATCCTTATTGTACGGGTTGACTGTAAATCATTTGGGGGAATTTGTTGGGATTTTTTTTCGTTTTTTCTCTTCCAAAATCGCATGCCCGACCTGACCCCAGCGGGGGCCAGG